TTTGCTGACGCGCCAACTGGTCACAGAAATTTTGAAATTAGGAAGGACAGACAAATGTGTTTTTAAAGTTTCTGCTTGTGACGATTGTTATGTTTTACGAGTTAGTTAGTTTATTTTTATGGAATTGTACAAAATACATGTAAATAAACTGAAAACTCCACAAAAATGTTGCTTTACGTTTACGTAAAGCAACATTTTTGTGGATAAACCTGGTCGCAAAGTAAAATTTTTTAAACAAACGCCATCACAGACCGTAACAAGTTAGAAAATTATAGTTTCGTGATGGTTAAAGTTTTGCATTATAATATAATATGTATTTGTGTCCTGCAATTAAGTGTCTGATTTAGAAATTAACCTTTTAAGTAAGTGGGCGTTAATTACTCCTTGGCTGTAGAAAGTTATTTTGTGGTAGTTGATTGAATTTTATTTTTTAATTGTGATGCATTCTTTGTGGTTAAATCAGGTTACGAATCTTCTCCTAATTTCCTGCCCAATAGTTTAATAAGAGAAAATTATATCGAGACTTGTGAACTTGTAACACAAGGTACTTTGAACATTTGCACCGAGTACTTACCTAATCTGTCTGTCTGTTACCTCTTCACGCTTAAACCGATTTAAATGAAATTTGATATTGAGATAGTTTGAGTTATAATAATATATATAGGATAGTGTTTTTCCCCGAAATCATACTTTAAGGTTGTAAAATATTATAAATTCGAAAGTAACACTGTCTGTCTGTTACGCTTTCGGGGCTAAACCACTGAACCGATTTTAATGAAATTTCGCATGGAGATAATTTGATTTTTGAGGAAAGACATAGGCTACTTTTCGGGTAAAAGCTATTAGTATTAGTATTAGATAATTGTAGTAAATTGTAGGTACTTTAATTTTGGCGACCATGGAATAAACGAAATAGGCAATCGTTATGCAACGTTTTTAAAGAGTATTCATTACTATATTTTAACCGTGTTCGTTGGAGAGCCATGGGCATGCTCGACCGGCGTGGTGTTAGTTCAGGGCAGCCATTTCAAATAATTGTTAGTTTTTTTGACATAACTTTTTTACTTCTAAATCTGTAATTATGTAAATTGACATACAAGTGAAAAATAGGGTTTGTTTTTAAATGCAATAAAAATAACAACTAATAATTACTTACACAATTTTCTAGAAAAATCACATGCTTCATTTTACCTCGAGCGCGCCAAACACTGAATAATTTAAAATAGAAAATACATACCTATATTTTTTCCCTGAATGTAGTAATAATATTTAGAGAATTTAGTATCCAGATATGGTAAAAACTGAATTTCGAATATTTTTTATACCCGACATTTTACAATCATGACGAATTGTTTGTTGCATGACGATCTAAGAACGCAGATGAAGTCTTGAAGAGCTGCTATGTAATAAATTAGGTTAGTTCTCGTCCAAATTTGTAGTAGTATGGCAAATAAATGAATTTTATTTTAAGTAGACATAAAAACGCTGCGGCGTTGTTACATTTCCATTTATTCGAGTTTTCCATACGTATTGAGACAATACCAAGGGAATCCAATTTAATATTCACTAAGGAAGGACCAAGATAAGGATTGGAAGAAAAATACATGGGACAAGTCAATTGGAATAATTTATATCCAAATTGGAATTCTTTTGTTAGAGAAAAAGTAGAACTCCATGAAGCATTTACATGTCTAATTTTTCTTTCTTGGTCCAAAACTGATTGGGCCGAGTCGACACAGCGATGCGAACGGTCGCTGGCAGTGCATCGAACGCGGCCGGTGAGAGCGAGGTCGATGAACCAGCCGCCATGTGCATTTTGTTTTGTACACTTTTGTAATTGCCATATAAACAATAATTACTAATAGGTACTACAGGAATCATTTCAATTTGCTACTATGCTTTGTGCCTAATACGAGTAACATATTATTAGGGTCGCAACATTTTACACTAAAATTCATGCTAAATTATGTTACTCTAAAAAATTGTAACGAAAAGCATATTAAATATAATTTAACTGTAACATTTCTTACTCAAAATTTTTGATAACAGATATATTATTGTAGGTATAGGGATTCTCGCAGAAAAACACGAAAATTTACTAATTTAATTGTAATTTACTTGTAAGGATGGCGACTCTTTAATACAATAATTATAAAATATCAGACTTTAACGACCAAAAGCGCATTGTGCTATAGAATGTGTGTACGTGTGCTTGGGTAAAGCGCTGCACCTATAATGATTGTGCCTAAGCTCTTTCTTTGAACCTAAACTTTGTATCTATTTTATTACGAAAAGGCGTTATTCTAGATCGAATGTAAAGCGGAAAGCCTTATAAAGGGAGTCCTTATACAATATGTAAATACTCTTAGGGTTCATCACGCACATTTCAGGTCAAAATAAAGAGAACTACATCAGCTGAGAAGGTTTCTTGCATAATAATAAATACCTAGCCCTGTTTTCTTGTACCAGTAGATGAATCTACTTGTATACCATTGTCGTATGTCATAAATATGGGACCATCTACAGGGTTACTGTTTAAGTCGACCTAGATACCTTAGGGCTTAGGAGTTGTAGTTGCTACCATTGTTGATAGATTTCACTATGAAATACCATAGCCCAACCATTTTCAAGATATTGGTGTTTTAAGATTTTTTATACATCATCACATCACATCAACAGGGTCTAATAGTCCGAGTCGAAGTAGATGGTTGATAATAGCAACAAAAGAATATTTTTGTCTTTTTAATTAAGTTGCAGATATGTTAAAAATATGTTCATAGTGTCAACTATCCAACAAGGTATACCAGTCTAAGATAATATTATATTTATTTTATATTCATAGAAAAAAGTTTAGATGAAAGACCGGTACTCGGAACTATTTTAAGTTTCTCAGAGCATTGTAAATGGGTACTAAGGGTTTAAGCAATCAAAGGTGGGACTAATAAAAAAACAAAAAAAAATCGTAAAGCCTAACGATTCGTGATAGAATTAAAAGACGAATACTACTATAATAATATTACAAAGATTATGTACTAGGTCAATCGTGTTTCTTGGACTTTTGAATATTGTTTCTGATTAAAGAAAATGTCTAGAAAGCATGGTACGTACGTACGATCTTTACTCTTTGTCGTTGTCATACACTTAACTGAAGGAAAGCATTTCTCTACGGTTACTACTTTGTTAAACCGAAAGCATTTATTATAGATTTTGTATAGTAGGTACTACAATGTCGAATGATCGAACTAATAGATATTAGGTCTACTCTAGTCTAGACTAGACTAAAGAGGAATCTTCACTTTAGAAATACACGTACATACTTTAACGAATACAAGACTATTTTTTTCCTATATCCTTACACTTTTATCCCTGAAGGGATAAATAAAGGCGAATTAAACGTTTATGTCCTGCCTACTATACTTTTAGTCCCATTTTCGTACGAACTTAATCACATGTTACTTTTCTGACCTTTGACATATCGCGTAATCAACTGACTGATAGGAACTGTTATAGAACACGTATAGATATTGGAAATATTTCATACACTAAGATTCCTTGCTCTTTCGATTGTTCGATTCTTTTTACAAAACTATCATAATATTATACCGTTTATCGTAATAGTCAATTTCTTAGAGAATTATTTTAGACTGCCAGCGAAATCGGCTTCCATGCTTAAAACCTTCGATGGCGGTGATAGTCGATTCTTATTCGACGAGAATGAAAACAAGAACTGTGTTTTGTTTTATTATTGTCCTGTATAATATATCCAATTGAATTAGGAATACCATTATTTTCTAAAAACACTTGAAAAAAGTATTTTGTTTGAAGTTATGAAGTAGGTACTTGATTTAACTTATCTTTTAATGCAGAATAGACATACTACATATTACTATACAGGTTCCTAATGGATAATCATCAAATCAAATATTCATATTTGAGTGTTGTGTATTTCCTATGTAAATTTCTGATCGAGCATTGAAATGGAAAATAACATCAGATATCTTTTACACATATCAGTCAGCCAGCTTCACGAGTAGGTACATAGAAGAATTTGTGTATTTATACCTTTAATGCCATGGACGTATAAAAACGTTTTCATACGTCCATGTTTTATACTTATAAAATATGCTCAGGGCGTTGGCTTTTTATAAAATTAAAAAGCTATAAGAAGAAATTAAAAAGCTTCTAAGTGCAGATAATATTCATCATCAAGTAATCTGTACCTAATACAATTTTCTGTAAGAACTGTTCGAAATACCTACTTAATAAAGCGATTCATTTATTTGCTGACATGTACTCACACGTATTAAGTAGTTTTTATAATAGTAAACGTCTCAGTACCTATTAAACTCAATACTATAATAATGGGCGCAAATGAAGTTTACAGACTGATAATTTTTAATTTCGAAATTCTTATTTGGGGGTTCATTCGCTCTATTTTAGACGCAGATCCTTTATAACAGTCTCGGGTTTGTAAATATTTCTCTCCTTATGTACAATCATCGATGACTTCTAGGTATTATGAATTAATAGGTGCTATATACCTAATCAATATAATATTTACGACTTTTAAATTTAATTGTACATTACTAATTATAAATGTACCTACTTCTAAAAGAATTATAATTCTACAATGTATTAAAACACTACTCAGGAACTATGGAGGTCATCAATAAAAAAATAAAAACAAATGCCAATCACAGAAAATACTAAATTTTCTTGGCATAGATTCGTTTTTATGTCATTTATTTATACAACATCTTCTGAAGTTGGCTAGGAAAAGCAATAAGATTATGGAAAGTAGCCAATGTGAACGTGAAGTTAATATTATGTACACCTACCTACTCATCGTGTTACGGTGGGTGAAACATGAAAAACCGCGCGCAGGTGCCTTACTTTGCTAGGTACTTACCGACGTAAAGGTAGTATAAGATTTTATCAAAAATATGAATGAAACTCTTATTAAAACTTATTCGAAAGTACTATTAAACACATAGCTTTACCTGGAGCTCCTTATTCTTGTTATCTTTTAGTGATGCTGCTCTGATAACACCAGCTTTCCATCCCCATTCGGAAACTTTATTCACGTTAATTTTTGTCACACCACTCACAGCGAGAAATCGTTTGCCAACTAAATCTTCACGATACTTATAAGCCATAACGAACTACACAATCACATTATTCACATTAAAACTACACAAACGTCAAAAAACTCAGCGTTTAAACGCGCAACACGTCACACTCTTCGTTAAGCGAAGGGAAACTACGTGGAAAACACAAGAAACGTTTCTGCGGAACGTATATTTTATGCTAACGATTTAAAAACTGAATATGTTTATAGAGTAAATATGATGTTTAGGAGCTTTCCAATTTGGTCGTATTATAAAGAAACTTGTTGTAAGTCAACCAAACCAAAATGGTTATCCCATGTACGCGTGTTATAGGAGGTAGTGCTCTTTTGAAGTTTTTCGCATAGCCGGCTCATTTTACATGGACGTAAATGTTACGTTTTAGTTAGACAACTCAATAAAAGAGGGCAGTGTTTTAAAAAAATACACTCAATTTTATTTTTGTAAACATGTTCTCACCTTCAAATACTTTTATACGTTTTTCACATTAATCGGCTTATTATCATAAAGAAGTGTTTGTTTTTAATTGAAGAAATTAATTTGATAATCTGAAAAAAATAACTAGTTTTCTTGAAAAATAGTTAACAAAATGAAAAGGCTTTAGTACTACGAATTAAAGGAATAATGGTGTTCCTAAAAATTTAAAAGTGAAAACTTTTACATACCTAGTTCAATCTATTGCGTAAGAGATGGCAGTAAAGTAACTGTGGTGGAGAAATACATACCGTTTTCATTCCATTTCAGGGACGACAGTTAATTTCATTTAATAAAAATAAATAAATAACGAGAAAGAAAAAACGAGAATATTAAAAAAAATAAGAATTATTTTCAACTTCAGCTTAGAAGATAGATGTGAGTTTTTTTGGAACGCTGTTTTGTAGTAGCCATATTGATTTGTAGGGTCACATGATCAAAACAACTGTCATTTCATTATCATCATGGCGTATTAGACTTTTAGTGGAACGGTTGTGTTTTGCTATGTTTTCTATTGTGATTATTTGAGTGATTTTTTCGCATGTGACTATTAATATGATATCGTCGATAATTTCCCGACTTGTGATGTAAGTATAATTATTATAATAAAATACTGACCGACTGCATCTTGTTTTATATAATCCTTTGTTAGAAATGAACAAAATAATAATTGCCTGTTTGTTCTTATTGTCAACATTTTTTTTCTGCGTCGCATATTCGAACTAGTATTTGTCAAATTGTCCATTATTACTGTTTTATAAATTATGAACTACGAACGTGTGCATATAAGACGGATATAACTTAACATATTGCTATATTTCAGTACCCATAATCGAACGGAATGTCGATTATTTTGTATTTTATCCTAATTATCATTTCAACATATTTTTTCCTGGTCGGTCGGTCTAGCAGAATGACAACTTCTAATTTGACGTAAAAAATTATCACAAAAAGGAAAATTACATCTAAAGTATAATACTCCAGGCGAGGAAGCACTTATTGTGGTATCTATCTCACTGTTTTAAATAAATATTTAAGTTTTCGTTTGACTCAATAAAACTCAGACTATTGCCTAATATTGAGTAATGTCTGCTGGGTACTAATTGATATTACTGGTAATAGCCTGAAATAACCTATGGACTTATGCCATAGGCATTTTCTCCCAGTCAACCTTTGGGTGATGCAGAGCTAAAACATGGTAGAGGCACAAAAGAAATAAAAAATGTGATTTTATGACAAATATAGCATAATATATATAGGAATCATATACCCAGAGTACTTATATTAATTACATTAAAATATTTTTCAATAAATAATACATATACAATAAGTAATAAAAATACTAATACAAACAATACATAAGTATTTTTGTATACATATGCACCTTTAAATACATATAATTATATTATATACTTTTTAATTTTACTTGATATTTTTGAGATATATGTTTAACTTTTCGGGAAAACCAAATAACTTTAATTTTATATACATCTGGATAAGCAATATTTATAGTTAAAATTTCAATCCCTTTTTTTGTTTTAAACTTGTTCTTACAATTGTATCAAGAGAATAATTGAAAAGTTGATTTCAACATAATAATTTTGAATTTTATATTTGACTGTAACCTGGAGATGACTTCACGCTTTAGGAAGTGGCATATTAAGGCATATGACAATGGATTTTAGAGACCAATTCTTGTTTTCATTTTATTGTTCTTTTTGATCATATATATTTTACATATTTGGTCTAGTGACCTAGTGATGTTATGATGAATTAGGCAGATTGCAAAACAATTAAACCTAAATTACTTATATTATTCTCTATTAATGTAAGTACCTCTGAGAATGGACAGGCCTGTTGTTAACCCGATGCATCTCAGGCCATCTACAGATTATGGATGACCCCTCCTATGTGGGAACTCCGATGTTGATGCAGGATCTTGTGTTAGTTAGTTTAGAATCAAACGGCCTAGTGTGAGTTAAAATTAGTTAGCTGTTTTAAGATTATCTGATATTTTCTGGTTACTAAAAAGATTTTTAAGGTAGGTTTATTTTAAATTTTTCTTGGAACATTCTTTGCGTAATATATCTTTATTATTCATGAACAAAACACATTTTTGGGCATGTATCTGAGGTCTAGACTTCTTGGAAACTTGTAAAGAGCTTAGCCGTCTTCCCAAAAATCTTTAAAATGACATACTGAGCAATACAACAATTTGCAATACAGAAACTATGCATGATAGTATATAAATAATGGTGGAACACCCTTACTGCTATGAGTACTTTGAAATACATCTAGGACTGAAGCATACAGTTCAGTGTTTAGTTCAGTTCAGTTAACAATGCGCCTAAATCATAGAAAACAATGTTTCTTAAATAAAATGGTAAAATATGATACATATACTGGGATATTAGCATCTAGCTATATCTTTATTCTAGTATTATCTAATTATAGTAGAGAATTGAGCATTGAAAACTTGAATTCCATAATTATGTCACCAAATACAGAATTTAATTGCTATTACTTGCAACCAGTTTCAACATGTTTGATAAAGAAAATAGTTAATAAGTGACATTTTTAAACTTTTTAGATAATAATAGTCATTAAACTAGTTGATTATTTTTATCTATTTGACAACTATCTAAGTGATACAGACATGTTATGTTTATTTTTTTCATAGAAGCGTCTGTAAACGAAGCTAGAATCCATGTAAAATTTTACAAACCCCTGTATTACTGCCACTTTAAACTGGTAAATCTTGTGACATGAAGTCCTTAATTGCTTGATTGTAAAGTTTAATAAAGCCACCATAAGCACACAGCTTTTATTTCAGTTACAAAAATGCAAATAGAAACGTTATAAATATGTCTATTCTATATTACATATATTCTCATTAAAACAGTAAATAACATAAAATCCTTCTGACTGTTAACTCTTTAAAACTTTTAATTACATGTGATAGGTATGCCTCTCTGTAATAATATAGAGCGAAAAATAAATAATAGTATTTTTACGTAATAAATTTTGTTTATTTAAATAATACTTTGTTTGTAATTGTTTAAAATTTAAACACAAGCCAATAGTGTAGATTAAACCTGGCAAGCATCCAAATCTTTAGAGTTTAGCTAGGCACAGTAAAATTTGGCAACACTGTAAGCTTATGTTCGTTTTTATCATTCTTTTCACCTTCAGAAGTAAAGCGTATTCGTAACAGAACCTTGTCATCTCTCAAGTCCTAATATTGTGTAGCTCGTGAATCACTAACATTATTGGGGCAAGACGGCTGACTAAATAAGCTGGTACGTTTTGAACAAAGAAACGAAGTTGATGCCGTTGCGGTATTCGTCACTAGGGTATCCCGCTGCACTGCCGGGTGCTATTTTCGGCAAAGCTCGGGCGTTCGCCTCTGATGTGCACTGAAGAGACGGTTTAGTCTGTGGCGTTCACGTCTTGCGTCCGTTACTTCGTCTTTCTATGCAATACAAGTGAAGTGCGTTGACACTAACCCTACAGTGATTCATTTATCGATATTCGGCCTTAGTGAAGAGTTATTAGTGTCTGTTCGTAGTGCGCTCAATCTGTTCGTACTGTCAGGAGGTCGTACACCTTGACGAGACCACGCTATGTGCTTTTTAAGATAGCTTGTCTTGCCTTTTTAGGTACAGCCTCGGCTGAATTACGTGTACCTTTACCCAGTTTTGCTGCTGACACAGATTTATTTGTACATTTTTTAAATGTCTTCGCGTACTAAAGTCGATATAAGAATTACGATTTTTTATGGAGATCATGTAGTTGTGATTTATATTTAACTAACGGTATGTCATTATTATATTAATAGTAATGTAAGTTCCTTGATAAATATAGTGATGTGTTTTACTCTGTGTTTATTTTCGAATACCTCGTGTGTTTGAAATACAATACTGTAGAATAACATATGAGAGAACAAAAACCTTTGCGAACAGGATCCCATTCCCTTTACCCAAATATGTAATAACTAAGTTAATAACAACAACATCTGCGGAATAAGTAAAGTGTACTTCATATCTGGGTTGGTCTACGGAAATAACTATGGCAAAATTACCAGCGGACCGATTACACATTTACCAACGTGTGTCAATGAAATCTTAACAAAATACGGAGAAAGTGATTATGATAGATGATGACGAAACGTAAGAGCAGAGAAATGTTATTTGAATAATAAATAGAATGTAATTGTTTTCATGCAGGAAACCCATGGAAAAACAATTCGATTTTTAATTCCAAGCAGCATAGCTTATTGTTTTTTGTAATAAATAAATACAGTTCTCTATAATAAAAGACATTAAACAAAATAACAAGATATAATACCATTTCTAGTTTGGCATTAGATCCTAATGACGTTGTGAACTACTACACGAACAATCTATATTTGGCTATTTTAGAGACAAAGATTAAATTCTACACGCGCTGTATCGTCGTTTCACGCGCAGTCATTTAAAATTATAAAAAACTATTAACACGCTTGGTCGATTCTTACAATACACAGGAAGTTACAGTTCACAGGACAGCATATTTACGCAAACTTTTCTTTAGTATCGTTATATGTAAGTGAAGTACAACAATAATATTTTACTCACATTCGATCAATGACGTAAAGTAAAACAAATTGCGCGTTTATGTGATCGCTCGTGTAGTTACAGTTTTAAATAAATTGGAATTACCTATAGCTAACAAAATTACGCACCATTTCACTTACATTACTAAAATTAACATTAAAGGTTTATTTTAGTGCACAAGGCTTTGTTAACTCAAATTTTTAGACCTCATTGTAAACTTGTTATTTCATAAAAATGATCATTAAAAACTGATTAGACTGACCTACTTTATGACAAAGGAATGTTACACTATAGTTTTATTTCAACTATTATTTGGAAAAAGGCATTTGTTCAGTACTGATCAAATTCAGAACAATTTCTGACTTTTCTATCTATTAAATTCAATTCTTTAATTTGCTTAAAGGTGGGTAAATATATTACAAAACATCCAACACATTTGACATTTAACTCATGACATGCAAATCACTAATAATTTACATTACAACAATTACGGTATAATAAAAATACAATAAAATACATTTTGTATTACTACTACTACTACTACTAACTAATTATAAATTACGTAACTTAAATTACCAATAAATTATACATACATTTATTACGATAGATCAATCATCAGACCAATAAATAACTCTATAATATTATTTGAATTTATAATTTAAATATTCGTTAACAGAGTAGAAACATCTGTCAACAAGCCATCTGAACAATTGTTTCTTGAACTTTTTAATAGGTAAATGTCTGGCATCTTCGCGTAAGTGATTGTAGATGCGCACTGACATTGCATAACCATTCCGACTAATATGTATGTATAATGTATATTATATATACTTAACGTTAAATCACAACGTAAGTCGGCCACGCTCAACTGCCTGTTACATCGACCCTGAAGAATGAAGCGGAGTGATGCACACGCTCCTTTTATAGTGTACCAATCGCCGTACTGTAATACCCGATAGAAAGGATACAACCGATTCATTATTGATGTAACAGGATACATTCCAAAAAACGTGACTTGAACATTGGAGTATAAGGAACCGGTTCCGTTAAGTTAAATAAATATAGTGCACGGCTATACTATTTATGTGACCAACACCTTTTAAGTGTATTGTGGTATTAAAACTTAACTATACACAAATAACAAGTGTATCTTTAACCTAACTTGCTAACCGATGCTATAAATGTGAAAGTGACTTTCTTTGTTATTTGTTTATTTGTTACGCTTTTACAATCATCATGAAATAATAGCATACGCTTTGACGTGGACAGAGAACGCCCAGCTAAAGCCCCGGTGAGAAGACGGCCCGAGGGCGTGTCGCCACACGTACAAAAAAAGAGCACAGAAAATGACATACCTTTCTATCTTTCAATCCGAAAAAAGTACTGATTTATAGGGATACCTAAATTAATTGACAAAATCTATATTAACTAGAGCAAATCTAAACTTTGTGATTTATAGCTATAGATCTCTTGTTGAACAGAACCAGCAGGGCATAATGTGTTTGTTCCGCGTGATAAAGCAACGATTACAAATTAGCCTTGTAATCTCTTGATAGGTTAACTATGTATTGATGTTTATATGTAGCTGAGTTACTATAAACATGAAAAATTACCATTGTGTTGCATCGTAGTAGTAGTTGCTATTTATTTTACACCTTATGACCTACTTTGGCATTGACTTTTAACGTGGTTTCTACAAAGGCTTTTTGCTATTTCTAAAATACTACTGACTGAATGGAGTATAAGTCGTTCCGATTTCTTCGACGGTTTGTGGAAATTAATGAAACAAACCATTGCATAGTTGATTAAATTTTATGCAAGAAATGTAAAAACTGATTTTTTTGTGGAACAATTTTATTGACCGTTGATTGTTACTTTTCTGTTTACTACTCGAATAAGTAGGTATACTACAGGTATAAATAAATGATATTTATCATATTTTGGGTATTGAAAGTCTTTGTAAACCGTGATTCAATAATCGACACTATTTATAATTCTACCTAAACTTTTCACGAGGTGTTTGTCTATTATATTAAGGAGATAAATGGGGACAATGGCGAATAAACAGATTTTCTAATAATTAAGTTTAAACGGACTAGTTCTTTAGTTGCGTAAGTGGTACCTTTTAAATTCTTTGTATGTTGTGTTTATGATGCTTTAGTAGGAGTGACCGATTTAGCCCAAATAGGTCGAGTTCCTTGCTTATTTAAGAATATTATTAGGAAGTTGTGAAACTAAACCATGTGCGTGTGCGTTCATTTCGCGTGCATACTGTTCTACTTTTTTACACATTTGGTGTTCCACTTCGCTTAAAATGGAACAGATACATTCTTTCTTTATACTTGTGTTTAAATGGATGTTATTGCGGTGCTGTAAAATAGAAAACAAACCTTTATCGACAAACAATTATATGAGATGGCTGCATCAACATTCTGCATGCATTCTGCAACAACAAATGGAGAGTGGCCACAGCAACACTGACACCATCTCGGTTCCTTAAGAAGTTTTAGTCTTATCTTAAATTTTAGTACTGAAAATGATATAGATCTACAAAGGTATCACCGATTTAATACGCCTGTAGTTTAATATGTGATATAAGATTTTTTAATTGTACAGGGATAAAAAAGTTATCAAATACTGATAAACGAAATTTTTGCTCAATGAGTAATGATCAATTATCTGATTATTATATTAGCTTCCACGGATATTCCAGCTCTGAATAATGACATCATACAATTTCTTTATATGGTTTTCCTTTGTTGTACTCTAAAGTTAAGTCTGTGTATTTTTGGAATAGAATTTAACAACACACAAGTACTATAAACTTTTATGGACAGATACTATAATATAATAGTATCTGTCCATAAAAGTTTCTATATCTAATCGGAAAGTTAAAACTAAAATTAATGGAATTGTATAAGTGATAACTTGAAATACTATAATCAGTATTGCAGATGCTCCCCTTAAAATACGTAATATCCAAAGCGTGTTTAAGTAGAGATGCCAATAAACCAAACAAACGTATCTGTAATGACAAAGCACAATGCTGATTGTTGAGCCAGACTAAGGTTGAACATATCTACAGGTATCTCTTCATATATTGCACATAACAAGCAATGCAATTGTGTTTATTTTTAAACTTGCCAGTTGAGAAGGAACCTACATGTCTAGTCAATTTAAGAGTTGAATAGCATCGGGGTGGGTCATATTAAACTGGTAGATATGGTCGCCTGGCCGTCGTCGCCCGCTAGATATATTAATCTGAATTGTCCACTCTTGCATAGCTTGTTCCGGCTACTCTTTTTAGCTTAGAATATATCGCCTTACATCCAGTATAGAAAGATAGTCTGCAGTCTCAATATCGCATTCTTGTTATTCAGATCGTACATTGAGTCTTTAACTATTAGTTTACTATCAGTACTAGCAGGAAATAGTTTAATTAATATTCATGTGTTGTGCGGTTGTGATAATGATCGGAATATCCGCATTGTGATTTTAAATTATGAAATGCATTATGTCGTTTCATAAACCACGAATGCTCAGCTACCGGAACTAAAATTTGCAAATAAATTGCAATCTTTCAAGAGTATTTTGTAATTTTTAAACTATTCACTTTAAATCCCAATAGTAGACAGTACATTATACGTTTGGTGTATTAGTGTTATAATATACAACAAGCAAAGAACAATCACGTCGAATAACTATATTCAGTCATTCTCTGCTAGTCATTAGGCGCGTTCCTCTAAAATGTTAATTCTACTGTATGTGTACTTGAACAGATACTAATAACAAAATCAAAGTGTTAAAATGCGTTGCTAGAAAACAAATGTCGTGGATACCGTATCCATGGCGTTGGGTTGCGCGACTAGTAACCGTGACGCCAGCAGTCGCTTGCCACCGTTGAGCCTCGGACTGTCCAGCGTCCGATTTATTGTCAACAAGCTAGAGGCCGAATACACTCGTGTTACTGCTTCTAACACTATAGAAATTAGCCGTGAACTCATTAAATACGATCCGAACATTGATGAGAGCTACGAGAACTACCATGACTCTCCTCTCTGTCAACCGAGAGGAACAGTCTGGAATCGAATCGCTGCGCACCTAGGAGTGGCTCTGAGCAGAAGCGTACCTAGTGTAACAATCGGGAATTTTGGTGTGCTGGCCTTAACGACGGGACTCTTCGCACCGAGGATGATAACTTATCTAGTGCTGTATCCATTTTGCAGATTGATATTCGGGACCCTGTACCCGGCGTATGCTTCGTACAAAGCTGTCCGGACCAAGAATTTAAAGGAATACGTAAGTACCTACTCTTTTGTTAAACCTATGTACGTATTGATATTAATTTACTAAATGTGTGCCATATGCAGAATTCGCTTGTATTAATAAGTTACAATTGACAACTATATTGCTTGTAACCTGCAAAGGAGAAGTAATTACGAATCGGCGAATATTCATTCGTAGAGCAATTGGTAATGTTGAAAAAATGTGTAATTTAGCTGTAAATGGTACAGTAGACTACAACAATCAATGGCCTTGTTGCGAGCGGCACGCTCTCGTTGTTTGAAACGCTTCGGTTCCTGCAGTGTCCTTTACCTTGTTCCCAGCTTCCTATGACTAATTGACACAGATATACTCTGTTCCGAGCAGATACCTGATCCCTAGGTAGGTAGGTCTTGTTAAACAACGGACAGAACATTTGCTATTGAGTTTTATTTAAATATATTTGACGTTAGGAAGCGTGTCTCAAGAGGTTGTTTTTTAGGTTTGTTGTTGTTGTTTAGGTTTGTTTATTTTCCTTAGCTAACCACAAAGATTACTTGAAACGAAACTATACACACTTAGGCCTGAGGTATAGTCAGAGAGGAGATTGTAAGAGTCATGAGCATGGGGGTCATGAAATTGAAAAACCTAAAAACTGACAACTCATGAAAATTGTATAACCAATCCGTTAAAGCGTTTGACAACGGTTTCCCAACATCATCCAGTAAGAGTTTAAAGTGGGCGACTTTTACCTCGGTTACACTCCTGAATCGATTGGCATTAGCAGTATCCCTTTCCTTCAATTTACTCACAGTGATTCTGACTCAGAATCAGTCTTTATTATTCCCGAAGACGTGGGTTAAATGCCTACCCAGGACAAATGGTTGTGAGATGAGCACGATCATTATTTTGTTCTGTGTCTTTCTTTTTCTATCTATAATATGTATATTTTTAGAAATAAATATGTTTCTTAACCGTCTGGTTACCATAGTAATATCGTAGCCTAGTTTTGGGTTAGCATTAATCTTTTATTAACTATGTTATTTTCAGTATACTGCTAAATTTCCTATCTTTATTTTTTAAAGTGCCTGACAATAGGCTTACTTTCTATTTCATGAGTGTGACAAAACCAAAAATTGGTGATTTCTACTACCCTATAAAATCCTACAGAATTCCAAACGTTATACTAGTTTTGCTTGACACAATGAACTCTGTTTCCTCATCTCTTAAAATCAAATTCTGTCGAACCCTTTCAGCATCAACATCACGGTATTCATTTTAAACCTTACGTCGAGTTGTTTAATTAAGGTATTGAAAGATTCCCTAAAAAGCTTTGATTTACACCACGCACGAGAATTGTATTAAGCACTCGTGCGTGGTGTAAATTCTGATTTGTAGGCAATCGATAATGTTCTGCCGGGATATTCGGCGGCAAGATCCGGCTAAACACCTACTCGTTTTATCTCTAAATGTTGATCTTACTATTAAGGTCTCCCTAAAGTCTTGGCAGCGATAAATTCATGACGTATTTAGAAAAATGACAGACGGTCAAGTTAAATCTGAATTTTAGGTTTAACTTGACCGTCTGTGATTTTGTAGTTTCTTAGAAATTAATATAAAGACGTATTATTTAATTCTTATTTTTTTATTATTAGGTATGTTTTGTTTGTTTGTCTTAGGTATAATTGTAAGAATGTTGAATAACAAGACAATAACAATGAATTTAACAGATTAAAATGTAGTACGAGATTCTAGCTTAGTTGGGAGTCAATGTATGAATAAACGAAATCGTAGCTATATTACAAAGCCCTCCTCGGAAAAGATAAGAATATTATTGCAGATAGAAAGCTTTGCATATAAGTATATATATATTACAAAAAAAAAACATTGCAAATACTACAAAACTCATTACGCCAGTCATAAGTTTGTGAAAACTAAAGAAGATAATGATGTTTCAAAAAGGATAGTATTCCCTCTTAAATATGAGTTGAGACGTTTGGAGATACTTAACTGATAAACTTACATTTGCAGGTAAAATGGATGATGTACTGGATAGTGTTCGCTTTATTCACATGCACGGAGACCTTCACAGACGTGTTCTTGTCATGGTTTCCATTCTACTACGAAGTGAAGATAGTACTCGTACTATGGCTTCTATCGCCGGCCACCAAAGGTTCTTCCATCCTCTACAGGAAATTTGTTCATCCGGCGCTTTGCAGACGGGAACAGGTGAGCGAGAATAACTTGACACAAGAGAGCACTAATGGTTCGACCGGAGAGATACCACCACGGCCTCACAAATAACCGGTGTTAAGTATTTCTTCATTGCGTTTCACAGAGTGAGTGAGATTACCGGAGTCCCAAATATAAGGGTTTGGGGAGCTCACCAATAAATTAAGGCGGGGGGGGGGGCGCTCAAAAGCGGCAATGCAGTTGACTCTTGAGTACAAAAAAATATATAGAGCCACGTACAACAGACACGACTACACCTTGAGCGTATATCGACAAATCTCGTTGTGATTAGGGTTTGACTGGATCTGAGTTTTGTGTTTGACAGTTTACCCACTAAATAAAACTGTATCTCCCTCGTCAAAGCCACCTTATCATCGTCATCGTCCATTACACACAAACATTCCTTACCAGCGATTGGCTACAACTTGATGGTGATGTTTGTAAATTACCAAGATGTGCCTCATAACTGTTTGATTTTTAATTCCACTTGCAGTCGGAAATACTGAAATGGAAAATATTCAAATGTATTCTTTTATATTATCTGAAGAGAATTCCATGTAATTGAGAATGAAATTAGAATACTTATTTAAAATTTATGATGTAACAAAAGAAAATGGCCAGCTAAAATTTAAAAAATATACGAAAACGTCTACAAAAAGTGGCACGTATTTCAGTATACCTAGACGTTGTTGACTGGTTCAGGACCAGCGGCGGATTAGAACTAAATGTAGTATTTACAAGCTATTTGGCTTTTTCAGGAAATAGATGAGTACATAGCGAAGGCTAAAGACCAGGGTTACCATACCGTGCTCAATTTAGGCACCAAAGGCGTAAACTACGCTACAACTGTTATTATGCAGACTGCTATAAAAGTAAGTTTTGTTTATTGTACAATTATTCTATGATAGCATGCTTAGTTTTTAACTGTTCTACACATGTAATACTTCAAAATTTTAACAGCTTTTGTATGATAAAAATAAGGGTGTTGGTGGACTTTAACCCTTAACAAAATATAAACAGTTACAAAGTGTTGATTAGAAGGATAACTTTTTTTTATCACTTACAGTTGTTACCACATTGAAGTTAGTACAGTACCAAACAACAGTGTGGCATGTTTGATTACAGCGTTTAGTGTAAATAAGTAATTTTGATTTGTACTCACTGTGATAATATGCACTTGCTTTACATGTTTTTGTTTTTATCTCAACATTTTCATATTCACACAATAGAGCAAGTAAGCCTTCCAGTACATAGACACCAGTCATCGGGCATGCCCACATCAAGAGCATATAATTCAGTTCCTATCACACCAATTTGATTTTAATCTAATTAGTCGCTTTAATTTAGTCTTTTTTTTTAAGTTTATTAACACGCTTTTTTAATTTGTCCTTATCCACCCCGTCTTTTCCAAATATCCTTTCCTTTGCTGCTTCACGCAGAACCTCAATTTGCCGAGCCCCGAGCAAGACAGAGAGCCGCGGGCTAGACAAGCTATAGGGTCACGTGACGTCACAGATGGCGACATTTATGAAGATTTGGAATATCAACGATCTGATCTGCCTGGGATTGTGGAGATAGTGGAATTGAATAATGATAACTCAGACCATGTCATGGGTGAGGGTGATGTCAACGACCCTGATTACGAACCCGATGACACTTCAGCTCGCAGTCGAGGTAACATCATTCGCAAACGTAAAACTGCCAAAGACAAAGAGAAGAGACCTCGAAGCAAATCAAGGGGTCGCCGCACTAGGAGTCAGGCTGCCCAGGATAAGGAGATATTGGTCGACTGAACGCTCAATAAACGAATGTAGCTGATCTGTGATCTTTAGATAATTTTAGACAACGATTAGGATTATTACGTTGTTTTTAAAAGTATCGAGTATATCACGTCTTTACGATTACATTTGGGTTAATATGTTATTAGAATATCCTGGCACTCAAATTAGCTATCAGCATGGCCTTTTATTGCGTTTAAGGCTAAGTAAAAGATACGAGTATACTTTGTTTAGCATAATGGACTTATAGTTCACTTGAGCTATTTGCTAAAAAAGTGCATAGAATTTAATTCTCTATCACTTAGTAAAAAAGTAACATATTAAGCCACTTTTTCGTGTTCTGTTAATTCAACAAACACTCTCTAAATACTATGTAATTATTTTTTTAATATTCCTTAAATTCTGTATTAAAATAGAGTACATTGAATGCAAGTCATACCAAAGTATCACAATAAATCTACTGTCACTGTCTTACTCTCAATCACTGGCTTCTCTCTAGAATCTGTTGTCATACCTTTTACATATCAGAAATTGCGTTTGAACTTTATCTAATAAGGTTAAATATACTTAGTTAATATAAATTCTAAACATGTCGAAGTACCGTCCAACCTATTTTTTTGAAATAACTTTTATTTTATTTTGCTACACTTGTTTTAAACCATTTCTACTTTTCTACACAATATCTTTGACGAACCGAATTATTTTGTCAGTTACGCCGCATGAAGTCGGTAACGAAATACATAATTAGTATATAAACGCATGTGCTATACAACCACCTCCCTTTGTGTATTGTGTTATTTAGATTTAATTGTGTGACTGATTTAGTTTTATATTCAATGATTTCTCAATAAAATAAATATAGTGTTTCTTACATGATTTTTTTAATATCCACATTACTGCTTTGGTAGTAAAATATTTAAGCATGCTTTTGCCTCACAACGCTTGTGTAACACCAGACAGTTCACGTGAGTATCATTTTTTAATCATTACAACAGGGCTGTTGATATAATAAAGTTCTATACCGTACTGTTACTTAAAAAGGACAAATAACTACATATTAGCATATTACTATTTTGAAATCACTAAATAACGATAAGTATTTTTGAAATAAGCTTACCTATTCGTGTTATATTGGTTACTCGAAGCGAAAAAACGCAAATACAAATTATTACTTATTGGTATCTGATGTATACAATTACAACTAAAATATATGTAGTTAATTTACTTAAGTTAAATTAAATCATCAAAGTTTGGTAGATCGATCAGTCTTAGTTTGAAGTAACGATTGCGAGAGCTCGATAAATCAAGCTGATTTAATAAAAGTGGTACTGATAAAATATTGATACAACTAAATTGACAGTCAATTTTAAGTTCCAGGTTTAATATTCCCAATTATTTGTAACGACAATAATCATCTCTTTAAACGGTTTCATACAGCGGGGAATTATTTTATTAGCTCCTAACTGATAATTTTATGATCAATTCAAACTCGTCATATTTTTTGAGTTTCGAAATATTTTCAGTATCAAGCAATCTCTTTGTGGAGTTCAGAAGTACTAAGACCTGCGAATACTACTAACTTAGCTCTTGTGTCCAAATATTAAGAATATTGTGATCTTGTATGCCTACAAGCCACGACTAAATTTTGATTCACTTACCAGGGTGGAGGTGGGTTGGTTCAACAATTGCGTAAGAGTTACAGCCTGTCCGACCTGACGGAGTGTGAGCCGCGCGAGGAAAGGGGCAGTGATGAGGCTGATGACGTGCTCACAGAACCAAGACTTGTACGACGAGGAGGACCGAAAAGGTGACCAGAAATCTTAACCTTTATTTTTCCAGTCCATTGATCCACTTTTACATTCGTTTCTTTTTTCGTGGTACAGGGGGTCAACGAGCAAGCGGGTAACATGATGGTAAGTGACCAACGCTGGTCATGGACACATGTAATTTAAGAGACAGCAGAGCGTTATTCGGCCTCCATAAATTATAGTTTCAACTATAACTAGTATTTTTTAGTTTTTAATATTGACTTTAATAACCTATCAGTAATCGCGATAACGTAATAAATCCATTTAAAAGTATTAATACGTATCTGGCCTAACATTTTTGAAAATTGTGCCGTCAGTTTTATTTTATCGAGTAAGAAAGAAGCTAACATGTATTTCAAATCACTGTTTTTAACGTAAATTCTGGTCCATATCTCCGATTAAATTCCGTTGTTACAATCCCTCTGTCTTTTTTTGAAACCCTAAACCTGTAAAATGTTTGAACAGTAAAGTTTGTTACATTTTCAGTGGATACCGTCGTAGCGCTTCCGAGTCAAACAGCCGTTCGCCGATGTACTTCCCAGAGGTTGATGTTGACGTCAGACCTCGGCCAAGGAGTGACGAACCTGATTTTAGGTTGGTATTAAGTATTCACATTGGTTTACACACCTATTTAAATTTAACGTTAAACAATCATTAGCTTCCTTTATACCCCCAGTCGCTGCTGTCATCATCCTCTTTGAATATGTTCATGATAGCTTACTTTATAATCAGTTTCGACATCTTAGTAATGTTTGCACTATGTGTATCTAACAAAGTTACATCTAACAAAGCCGCATTCTAAGTAAAGTTGGCATATGGTGATACTATCGGGGTTGCCTCAAGGATCTTTATTATCTCCTTTATTATGTAATATTTATCATTTTAATTTACCAGATTGCCTACACCATTCAAAACATCTTTTACATGCAGATGACAATTTATTTTTTTCGCAAAATGAATAACAATTGCTTTCTCCTTCAATCTGATCTAGACTGACTTACAGATTATTATTAAAAAATGCCAAATGCAATGAAAAAAACACACTATCAGCATAATATATGAGCAATCGTGTCAGTATCACAAATTGAATACACTGGATGACAGACGCCAAGTCGTAGACATAATGTTCTTATACGACACCATTACTCGCAACCCCATCTGCAACAACCAACTATACATCAAAATGTCACCATTCATCCGTATTCAACATATATACAATAACGGTTTCTCTTCACTTAGCATAGATCCATTTAACACTCTCCGAAATTCGAAACAGAAATTGCCACAATAATATTTATTTATGTCATTAAGTATTAACTAAAAGTGTATCACTAAGCACTAGGTCAACAGGTTTGTATTTTCGTGTCGAGCTTAGCATCAGTAATAAGAGCAATAATGAGTGTGCACGTTGCAGTCATATAAAGTCGTCGGAGGACATAAGCTCGGGCTACTCGAGCGCAGACAACAGCGCGTCGCTGTCGCGCGCGGCGTCGCTGGGCGCGGCGGCGCGCGCGCGGGGCCGCTCGGCGCGCGTCACGTGCGTCACGCCCATCAAGCGCCCGCAGGCGGCCGAGGTCTGCTAACTTTGCACTACTCATCGCCACCTTTGTTCGCCATAGTCTTAGTTCAGAAAGCGTCACGTGCCGGGCTCATACCGCACATTTTTAAAACTATCGTTATTAAGAATGAGATGCCACGAATAGTACGCCGTTTTTGAAATTAATATAGATATTATTATTAGTAATTTGTACAAATAGCAAACAATATACCTACGTATTCACGAGTCATACGTAAACACCTAACTGTCTCATTGCGGTGTGTCGTTGCGTATTTTTTTTTTGTATCGTCTGGTACCAATAGTAGATAATTATATGTTCAGAAACCGATATACGTGTGATCGCATCTTCAAATTTACAATTGAGACATGCTTAAACCACTGTTTTATTTATGACGATTTACCTCTAGATTTTAAGTAACCGTTTGTAATTAAAGTAAAAACATTACTGAAAATATCAGTCGAAAATGTTTTACCTGATGGCGTTTTTTTAAGATTTGTTATTCAACCTAATGAAATACAACATTCGGCCAAAAACCAAATATGTAGTAGTAGGTAATCGAAAATTCGTGGCATCCCCCGTTAGATCTGTCCTACGTTAGCACATCATAGAAAGGATAGTAAAATGTATTTGAGTTGAGTATCCTAATCGATGAACAATATGTAATAAATAATTTACAATTTTTATAACATCTGTTTACAATAACCAAGTTAATTATATGACTTTTTGAACTATGACTAAAGGCAACTGTATTCTTAATTATTGTTTTCATTATTCCCTTAAATATTTTCATCATGATATTAAAATTAAACTCTTATATTAAAAGGAATAATCACTGCAATATATACAATTTATTATGTCCTACATTTTAAATTCGTAATTGTATTATGAGAGGTGCAATGGGATATAAATTTATTATATTTCAAGGTGGTTTTACAGTCATTGTTTTCACACAAAATATACTTAATATAAGATAAAATATGTGTGTAGATGTGAAGCTTTAAATGTCACGTGAGTTGCGTAATTACTGATTGTAAAACTACCCTTGCTTAAATTATTTTGTAGCTTGTTTTATCATTAAAAAATTATGTAATGGCTATTCCAGAATTAGCTAATAGAGAAAACTCTTAATTTTTTAATAATGAAACAGCTACGAAATGTTTTAAGCTCTAGAGCTACCAGTCGATCCGACTATGTTGCTGAACGGAAGGACAGTAGTCACGCTGATACGTCATCATTTCTCAGATATAAGGGATCTGAACTATATTAAAAACAAGTAAAACGTGTTTTAATTTATCACTATTTACATTTTGTATTTTGGTACAATAAAAATATTACATACAAACATGTTACTGTAATATTTAGTATCATGCTTTCAACAACAACTGTTTTGGTTTCAAGTGTTTTTGTATTAGGTAGTATATTTTCATAATAAAGATTAATTGAAATTAAATATCATGCATTTAGTATGTACGTATTATCATTACTTAGTTATTTACATGGCCGTTCAGTAAAAATATATTAACCCGTTGACCGCCAAGGACGCATTAAAGCGCCATTCAATAACTTGATCCTTGACGCCAATGACGTCTTAAAGAGTCAACCGCACATCGTTTTTACGGACTAATAAAACTTGGCTAAAGTTGATTTTTAGAATCAGGAACACTTATAATTTCGACTACTATAATCATGCATTTAAGCATAGCTATAGAAAGAGGATGTGGTCACAAACGAGATTACTCCTTTTAAATCTGCTCTAACTTCGGTGTAATGATTACTTAGTTGAGAAGTGTGATGAAATATGGCTGAAATTTAATAAAACTTTTTATTCGTAAACCATGCACAAATGAAATGTATAATTTATCGATACACTTTAGTCCGTCACTATTATTTTGTAGGTCTGAAACAAGAAATTTGTTGGCGTAGAGTAGGCTTTGTCGTTATTAACGTGGCGGTCAAAGGGTTAAAAAGCCTTCGTCCACTAGGATCTCCCGCCTAAACCTCTGGGGGATTTATTTGGATTTTTTGTCCACACCAATCCCCTAGGTGAGCTGTTTGGAATTCTTATCCATTTTGATGCCCAAGAGAATTATTTCGAATTTTTTGTAAACAACTGTTTACAAAAAAAACTTAAAAGTCCACTAGGATACCCTGCTTAAGTCCCCTAGGGGATTTATTTGGATTTTATGTCAACACCGATCCCATTATTAGGTGTGATCCCCGGATGGATTTATATGGACACTACTTTTATTCTCAGTAGCATAATTATCCCCCCGGTCCATTTAGTTCAACTAGTTGAAATTTGAGTTGAACTAAACGGAATAAATGTAATTAGCTATCTTTATATAAAAATTTGTCGCCGAAATATAGGCATGTCCGCTCATCACTTTATAATAGTTACACTTTCTGTTATAGAAAACCATTTTATGAAATTACTTTTCATAAAAAAAATCTCATATTATCATCTCATAGAATAATGAATATGTATTAAAAAATTATATCATAAAATGTTACAAATAAACTGTTTCGATGTACCTTTGTACGTTCGTACTTTATCATTATATTGTTTATCATGTGGACAAAGGGAAACGAAGATTTGCATGAGCGAATCCGGAGGGGCGATATCTAGTTCCGACACTTCCTAATAATAAATATGCTACACAACTCAAAATTTCTTGGAAAACTCCATTAAGCCATTTATTTAAAATCAAATTTAAATTATATTTAGGGAATTTGTGTTTACAAAAAAATCAAAATAAATCCCCTAGGGTACCTAGGGTCTGCTTCTTAGTGGACGGAGGCGTTAAAAAAGATAATTTTGTACTACTTTTTAATCGAAATTTTAAAGGCCTATAGGTAGAAAATGTACCAGTTTGGATAGTATCTAAAACACATAGGTAATATCTTAAAAAACATATCTACTGTTTGTAAGCAACATCGTCAGACCAACCAGTGGTTCTCCTATTATTTAGTGTGTCAGGGTATGAATGGTGCTGGGTTGTTTAGAACCAAAACATTATTAATGAAACATTGTGTCAGTACCCTAAAATTAGCTCATTTGACTGAACAAATCATAATCATGTGGCTAGGTAACAGTTCAAATATTGAAAATGGCCTACATATATTATTCTATATAGAGCTTCACAGTATTACATATTTATAAGATTGTGTAAGATAAAGTAAAATTGAGTATTATGCTTAAACGAATAACAAATTGGCTTCTATTTTATTTTTATCGTTTATGTTTCAATGTATGAAATTTATAAAAAGGGAAAATATCTAAACTCAAGATTTTATTCAAAATACCGCTTTGGTATAATTTGTATATCCATAAGTCTGTAGATTGCATTTATTAGCTTATATTTTGTTTGAGTTTTCCTTCGTTTGATATAGACTTAAGGCCTTTTTATTTAAAGGAAAATGAAGTAATCATCGAGGAGCTCCACGACACCGATAGTTTTGAATATGCGAATATGCCTCCTCTTGTTAACCTCCCGACTCCAATGTACTTATCCCACACCCAACCACCTTTTATATATCAATATGTTGGAGACCACATTAAGATTCTTCAAGTACTAGGTACTCAACTGTCTAACTCGATTTCTAATAATGAACCTGATAACAATACAGATCACTGGGACCAAAAAGAAATCGCTTCTGAACAAACTTCGTTAAATAATTCTATAAAAGCAGAAAACATACCTTTTTCTAAAAATAAAATAGAGACTATTGATAAAGTAAGTGATGTTGTTTCCGACATTCCTGTTGTAATTGAACATAAAGACAATAATGATGACCAAATTAATATAGAAACTAAAAATATTGTTCAACCTATTATTGAAATTGATAAAGAACCAATTAGCATTAATATAAAAAAAGCAGGGAATATTTTAGATGAAACTGCAGAAACAACTTGTCTTCATACCTCACAATACGAGAATGATTCTGTCGAAAGTGACGATGAAGCGTCATTTGGCACACCTGAAAATTCGCCTAAAAGTAAACGAAAGTTACCAAAAGGTAAATATGGGAAATGCAAAGCGCCATCGCCGCCCATGCTCAAAACAGATAATCTAAAAGTAGTTGATGAAAAAGTTTGTGAATCGGTAAGAGCAACTTTTATTGATAGTACCGCTTCCCAAGAAAGCCTTGTTGGCATTGTTAGTAAACTGTCGTATACCAGCATTAAAAAGTCAGACTTTAACGATATTCAATTTAGCAATCTTGTAGAAGAAAATAAAGGAAGGCAAAAATCTAAATCCCCGGCAAATACTCCTAAAAGTAGTAGTTCTGGCATAGGTAAACTGTTGCAGCTGCCAAGTAAGTTGGCTTTTTGGCACAAAACTGAGGACAAACCGAAAACTGACGATACACGGACATCATCTGATGATCTCAGTAGAAGATCATCTACATCTGATCAAGCCCTGGAGGGATTTCAAAGCTGCAGTGAATTAAATACTATTGTCGCAGACGAGACAACAGTAGATTACGATATTGATAAATTGCAACCTGAAAAAACTGATCAAAAAAGTTTTGCAGATGTAGTAGATGTGGATAATGAAGTTATATCGAAAGATATAATTGACAAGAGTGATGCCCTTCAAAAGCTCATTGAAGCGAAAATAGAGAATCATCCAGAGTATAAAGTAATTCCATTACACGAAGAGTCGATAAGTACAGACGTGTAGAAGGTTTTCCTAAATTCCCCAGCCCGCTTTTATTTGCAGCTGAAGTTAGGCTGAACAGTATGTTTGTTTCTTTATGTTAGCTGTGTTCTTTATATGCATGGATTTGCTTTGTATTAGTATAATTATTAGTTTGCAAACTACTTTCAATAATATCTGGCTTAGTTATAATATTTAAATGTTTTAATTTATGTCTTTCTTATTATTACTTTCTATACCAGTCACACCATCTTTATTTATGTATTTCATTTAAAATGTAACCATGTAGGTGTTGTTTCTATATGTAGTTTTGTTTCTGTTTTTATTTTATTGTGTGTGTCTTACCCACTTACAAATAATTTCAAACTAATACTATATGTATGGTTATGCACTTTCAGTGTTAGAACTAAAACATGTATTATAATAAAAAATGCCACCACCATACAATAACAGGGTAGTGTGCTTTGCTTTTTTAAGTTTTCAATTTACTCCTTTTTTTCAGGCAATGCTGTCGGCCTCTGCTACCATCCCCCGCGCAAAAAAATCTAATAAAAGGAAAACACAATAATTCGTATCTAAATAAGTACATATTCTTTGACACTTTTAATTGGGTCTTAATAAAAGTACAGTTGAATATTGCATCTAACAGTTTTTAAAGCATTCTGCCAATTCAATGTGCTAGTTATCAAAGATATCTTGCAGCTTTTACAAAGCTTCATTATTTTTGATAGAACTCCTACGTTATTCTATTTAATTAAAATAATGGAATGGAAAACCAGACATGCAAGTTAACCCATTAGGTCGTATATTTAGATAATAATATATAAAATATTATGTTTAACAGCATTACGCATTGAAAACGCAGAACGAAAGTTATTCTTGTCTTTTAATAAATAAATTTTAAAGAGCGCGTAAGCGATGGCCATCCATCTACAAGGCATTAAATGCGTCATTGTTTATATAGATATTCTTTATGAGGACGAAATTCTCAAAAATACTTCAAATCCATATTCTGTGCTCGCCAATATGTTTATTTATTTATATGAGGCTATCTTAGGTATTAAGGCGATCCAAAACGACCATTCTCTGGGACGGATAAATAAAGCACATTTATGAAGGTTACCACTTTACCAAAAATCTTATACCAGTAATTTATTCCTCCTCAGTGGTAAATCATATAAAATGACGAAACTATATATTATATACCTATATTATTTATGTTTTGAATTCACTGATAAATTATATGTTTGCCGTTATTGCCATCTATTATTTGATGATCTATAATTTAGCCAAAAATTGCCAAATCGACTCAACAATTAGCAGAAATTATTTAGCCATATTTATTGTAGTATTAGTTTATAATAAAATTAAACTAGTCGATAATGAATTTATTAAGTAGCTTCAACGAGGCTGTCATATCGTAATTGTATGAGTACCTAGGGTGAAATGTTGGGGGCAAATTGTGGAGATTAGGCACAATAAGAAGTTAGCTTTACAATTCAGCGATATTGTTACTCTGTAAGCTTACTATATGCAATTGTAATATGACACGGTGTTCGTCATTGTTATATTTGAGCTCATTACATAGGGACAAATAGTACATGGTAGCACAAAAAGATAGATTACTGTGGATAATTATTTCAAATAAACTTATGCTTTTTTTTGTATTACAATGATAAATAAGGTTCCTTTCATAGGTAATTTGTGTAAAAATAATATGTAATTAATTGCTATTTGCATTGTATGTATATGATAAATATAATGTGACTACTAGTTAAGTTCGTATGCAGTGTGTATTCCTTTGTATTCCATTTTTAATGGATTGTTACTGCATTTTGTGTATGTTACCCTCATTTTGTTACCTTGTTACACAAAAGGATTTTTTTCTAGTAGTCTGTCACAATTTTGCATAATGGTTTGTTTGTGTTTGAGTTTATTGAAATAAATGATTATCTTAATTATTCTTTACTTTTTTAATCCTTTATAAAATACCACCAGTTTTTAATCTTAAAGTATCAAATATGTATTTCGCATAATCATTATTATAAACATTATTTACCTGATTATATAATAAATCTGATGAATCAGTGCCTGAGAAATTAATGTAGTTTAATAATGAAAATAATTTGTAATAAATACACACATCACCTGCATCAGATACCTTAATTTTTGGTAAATTTTCCAATATTTTTATTAACTTTGGTCTAACCACAGAGTTAAAAGTTGAATTATTTCTAACTGCAAACTTGTGAATAATATTTACTGTTTGAGAACTTACTTCTTCTTCCAATAATATATCTGGAAGGTTTTTCAGCCATGTATTGTACTTATCACACTCATGGAAATGACCAAGTTTGTCATTTAGAGATATTTTACAAAGCAAACTAAAGATTTGTTGCTTTAAATAACTTGTCATGTTTTTATTAAAATATGCCCAAATGATCTTTTCAAATAAAGCGTTCATTACTGAGAGGCTTCTTGTCCAGTTGTTCACATCATTAGAAAACAATGTGTGTAAGATTTTGACAATAACATCATTTACATTGTCCTGAGTGTTTTGGTTGAATATTTTCTCTATGTAATTTAATATATACTGTATGTCTTTGTGTTGATTCTTTACATTTATATGAGGATTAAGTACTATGAAAAGGTGACATATTTCTAAATTTTGTTCTACCAATTTAGGATCTGTAATAAGATCTTCAAAAGGAGAATTACTCACATTTCTCTGCTTGGATCTAATGTTTGTTACATAAGGGAATGATCTAACAAAATGTTGCAAATATGATTGTCTATACTTCTGTGAAAATTCATGTTGAATGTTGGAACTAGGGTTCTTCAAATTGAAATGTTTGATAAGACTCCAAATTAATGAAATAACTTCCAAAATTTGCTTCAACAGAGAAGCTGCATCTTCACTGACCACTGTTTCAATGTTTTTCTCTGAGTTAACAGGTGGACAAACCTCTAGCCAAGTTTCAAACAAAAGAGGCATCAGAGTATCAACATAAACCCTGAACTTTTCTACTTCATCTATTGGCACTGATTCTTGTGTGTTTCTTGAGGAAAAGCAAGATACAGAACATGTTTGTATATAACTTTGATTAAACAATGGATAATAATTCATCTTGGTGGTATCAAAAGCTTTTGTGGTTTCCATTACCTGTTCCTTGTGATCATTAATATTGTTATACTTGACAAATTGATTTAAATAGTCTTTTAAACGGTGCAGAACTTTCACTCTCCATTTTACACTTGTTATTTGACTGCCCAAATTGACAGTCAGAGTTCTTCCGGGCTTTGAGTCAACCCGCAATTTTGAAATCATATCAAGGAAATTTGGAATAATTTTATGAAAATCTTGAGCCACTTTCTTAGGAGTGCAAACAAGTAGTGTATCCAGAAATAGAAGGGAGTCCTCTTGTATTCTGCCATCAATGTGAGTCATTGCACTTCTCAAGTAAGTACACATTACATCAAAGAATGGCTCTATTCGTACTATGTCTGCATTTGACAACAACAGGTGTAACACTTTTAATGATTCATGGCGAACCTGAAAAATATATACTTTATGCTTAATTTTTTTTCCACATTTACTATTTGATTGAAAAAGTGCCTTGAACTATTTGACAAAACACAGATTGCTGCTATTGTGTGTTGATTTCTGATTTCAGTCGACCTAAAAGACGATATCAAACAACTTTAATTTTTTTTATGAAATAAAAATATTTTGAATTTGAAATAGAGTGCAGTTTTAAACAAATATATTAGAAGTTTTCTAAAAAAAATAAGTAATTCCCTTAGATATATGGATTTGAGCACAATTATCTTTAACGTATTACTTAGCAGGAGCACAGAACCACAGATCTGTAAGCAACTGCTTATAAATCGCAATATATTATGTTCTAGTATAGCTATAAGTATACCATGTACTGAATACTGAATTTGGCTGACTAAATGGTTGTATTAAATAGTAACTGATACTTACAACTTTTTCAATATTCAAAACCAAGGGTGTTATTCCATGAATTAGTTCCCCAAGGTTATGTTCCAATAATTCAGGATGTGAGGAAATGAGTTCCTTCAAACCGTGGAGAGCCTCAGTTCTGTTGTGCGTGTTAAAATGATTAAGACGAGACAGTAATTCTTTAACGTTTAACTTCCTTGTAGAAAGAGCTTCGGTTTCACCATGCTTCTTTAACTGTTCTTTGATGACTATCTTTTTCACTTTAAAATTCGTCTTCGTTATGTTAGTGCCTTTGGGTAGATCTTTCTTAGATTTGAGCTTTGTTTTAGATTTCTCAGATTTGAGAAACTTTTGATAACGTGTTGCTCCTGTTTTCGGCATTTTGAAAATAAATATAACCTAACTAATATCAAGAGTTTAGTCAAAGATACTTCAAAATACCTATTATATTATACTGACAGATGTCACTTTCATGTTTCCGCAAAATTACTATACGTTAAGTTACGTCAACTATTACGAACAAATAAAAGTTGGTCACTGTTTATTGACGTTTTTTCGACACGGTAAGTAAATCACTGTGATTGTGATTTAATTCGTAAGTCGTAATAATAATAATTCAGTCGTAATAATATTAAATAATCATATTTTCGGTTATCTGACACCCAACGCCATCTAATTTCAAACTGACTAGTGAATAGTTATCTGTGGCTTGTACTATGACAGGTAGATTGACTGATATAATTGTAGAGATATAAGCATAGAAATAACACCGGGTACAGCACTGGGCACGTTCCAGCCTGCAGATATTAAAATTTCAAAATAAAAAAATCTCATTTTTTAGATCTCAATTAGCCCTTTCGACCTACGTTAATTAATTTATAAGCCTGTTTTTCGTTTTCCCAGGAAAAATAGAAATATAATTTTCAATTTTCCTCTACTTAAAATAGCCATATCTCTTTGAAAAATGATTATTTTTTACTCTACCAAGCGTGAAAAAATTGCCCTTGCGCTAATTTAATTTGCCCGCGTGCTAATTCTTAAAAATATTCAATAATTATTATTGTAAACAATAAAAAACCGTCGTGGCATTTCCCAGCCAAGTATTTGCGCATTGCGCATGCGCGACAGAATAAAGATGATACTCACATCGTCAACTGCAGATCAGCTAATGCTACACGCACGGAAGGACTTTAAAAGTTATTATATTACTGTTTCGGGAAGTTTTTCAGTACTATTGGATTCATTATCATATATAGGGCCGCGCGCACAACTGAGTCTAACTATCTGTAACCCATATAAAGGTGGTACTTAAATAATAGTAGATAGATAAACGACGTATCTTGTGATGCGAGTTCGCTGCGTTCGAAGTGTAGATGTAAGGCCGGTTTAATACCAATGAAACCAATCCGTTTAAAACGAAAAAACTGTTTAAACCCGAAATCAACCATTTTTTTATTTAAAAGGGTTGCTGCTGATGACTATATTTTTCTTAATTAAAACTACATTTTCTTTATTTTACAGAGGTAGGGATATGACGTAGTACCTATAAACTGTGTAAAGATTTTTTAATATGTGTGATATACTGATATTGATATACTTAGCGGGTTTAGTTTTTGTTAGTCCGTCCGACCTATAGACGTAAAACAACCGATTTAAAATGTTTTAAATAAAAACCGTTGCCGTTTTAAACCTCAAAATAAATTATTTTAAACGGTTAAAAACTCGCCTACAAAAATAAATGAACTGTGTTTTACACTTCATTGTGGGCAATCTTTGGTCACCTGACGTCATGTTTCGTTTTAATCAATCAATAGAAAGTACCTACCTACATTATCTACTACACGAAAACTTAAGTGTGTAGGTATACCTACCTATACTTCCTCAGTATATTATATTACACACACTAGATTACTATACTTGACGTATATAAGAAAATATGTTTTTTAAGTGTCTGGCGAATGAAAGCAGAACTATAGTCATATAGTGTATTATCCTTAGAGCATTAAACCATATGGAAATTCCACTACAAAATACACACACCAAAATAGTATGAGCGCCGATCCAAGAAGTTAAATAAAACTAGTTGCAGCGCGTTTCGCACCATTCGTCAGATGACTGAGCGTGTGTAATAACGTTACCTGTTAGTCCAATGAAAATGCCGAATACATAGCATAATATTATCCTTTCATCTATTAGTTATAATTCATTCAAATATTATTAAAAATGGTATTACAATAAAATTTACCAAAAATAAAAATCTATTTTCAAGTTTCACCACAATCTACTCGGGGGTAACATTTCAAGATGTGTGCTAAAAAGCACACATCTTGAAATGTTACCTATTATATTAACCTATTATATTATATTAAATTAGAATCTATTTTGCAATTCATCTTGTTAATACATATTTTTATGTCATGAGCTGATTTTTTTTTGTATTACCTATGTTTTTCTATGTCAATTTTTCTATGTGTGTGTTATTTATTGATATGTTACCGAATTACTTATTCATATGTTTTTTATTCTTTCCAATGATTTCTTATCAAACTCTTTAACAAAATAAAAATAAACAAAGAAGTAAAATGAGATGATAAATTGGAATAATATAAGATTAGTGTACATACTTTATTTGCAAAAGAAATATTTTCTTTCGTTATTTATGAGAAAATGGGCTTTGTTTCTTAAGAAGATGGTCACACACACTTGAACATGACTAGGGTGGTGAAAGCACAATCGCAATATCAATATTGACATTTCAGTATTTTATTAATTATTTTTAATCTGTTTATTATTGAATTTATCAAAGAAGCTGCATTTAGAGCCGTTTGGACTTACTCGCAACATTTTGAACCCAAAGTTTACATCGATCCAACATAAGCAAGAGATTGACATACCAGCGGGGCTAGTGCAAGTTCATTTCATATCAACTCGCTCTCGAAAGCGATGTAGATTTTAGTGCGGGCCAATCGCAGCGCTGAACATGGTCACCGTGACGATCGAGTTGCTGTGAAAAAAAAAACTCGCATTTGGGCCTCAGAACGGGTCTGGATGAAATTTAGCACAGAAATATATTATAGCCTAATAAAACACATAGACTACTTTTCATTCTTGGAATAGACTCCCGTGGGCCATAGGAACGGGATCAGTTTTTTTTTAATTGGGTTTTTTCAGGAATATCACCTTAATGTATATTAACTAAAAATTTTCATCCAAATCAGAATAACGGTTTAAGAGATCGTGGTAAGAATTGCTTGTTTAAAGCAATAACATTTAAAGATCAGATTATATACAACATTATTATAACTCATAACTCTGCGTCAATGAAGTAGGCTGCAAACTGAATGTTGCGCAGGTATCGGACTTTCGACAGAGTCAAGCTTTAGACAGTTTTCGTTATTAAAGTGTAACTGATAGGTGGGCCTGTATGTGATTGTGCTAGTTTTGCGTATAATTTAAAGTAGTGTTTCATCATTTCGTTTAATTAATTCATTAATGGTGTGCGTTGCTAAAATATATAATAAATAAATAATAATAATATAAATATAATGTGATATAAAAACGCGTTAGTGTTTACTTTATATTTTATGTTCGTGCCCCGTATTATTACTATACCATGCTGGCCAGATGGTACGGTCAATTTTCTTCACTATTTAGCATAGATCAACACAGACCAGAGGGGAGTAGCCATTAGACATAGAAATTATTGCTACATTTGAATCGCAGTTGATGAAATGATTGTATTGATAGTCCAGTCATTTAAGCTTAAATTAGGTAAGAATCTCGGAATTCGAGATACCCAGCTGTAAGTCTGTAAATACTTGTATATTGACACCCTTAAAGTTGTCTCAAAACCTACATATGGTAGGGTGTAAGCAACTATTAAATTTCAAGGTCAAAAGTCACAAAAATCGGTTTATTGCGCTTTTTTTGGAAAGATCTCATTTCCTATGGGTTTCTGCTATTTGTATTCATTATCAATATTGTAGAATACAAAATTCTCTACAAATTTTGTTTAAAAAAAATTTTTTATACGGTGAACCGTTTTTGAGATAGAGGGCGGAGAGCGCGCGGTCACAGCATCACTTCAGGTTAACCGGTGCCTCCGGTCGAAAACGCGCCATATATAGTTGATGAACTATCGATAAATCAATGATTATAAATATTTGTCAATTTTTATTAACTATTATATTATATTTTATCATTTTTTTCCTAACTTATCCACTTTTTATTCAGTATTAATTTATTTAACAACACTTACCTGCCCATGTAATTGCAGAATTGTTAATGAAAATATAGGAATTATATTTGAATTTTATCCTAATAATATTAATAACTTCTTACATGATGAAAAAAAAAACAAATAAATTTTTATTAAAAAATATCATTGAATACATTTATTTTTATTGAAATTAAAAAATGGAATAAAGGTTACAAAAACTACAATTTATAATTTTAATCATCTTCTTCCTCTTCATCGTCGTCTTCTGGCTGCTGGTAAATTTCAAACTGGTCTTCATTATCGTCTTCAACGACATTTGTCTCAAGTTCTTCCATGATTTCGGGGTCAAAGGTTCCATCTTCGTTAATGTCGCTCTGATATGGTAGAGCATTGAGACAAGCTTGCCCATTACATTGGCCACAAGCTAAAGAGCATTGCAAGCCCGCTTTCCTGCATCCGCATCGCAAACCACAACCACTCTTGCAGTTGCAGAAAATTGTATTTAGCAAATCTTCTGGAGCAGGTGGTAAAATTGTCATGATAGGCTCCAGAAAATCATTTCGCATTGTCCAACCCCATACCTGGGGTTCCAAATCATGTCTTAACCAAGTTTGAACTTGATAATATACACGGTTGAAATGTTGATGAGCAGCTGCACTTGTTGGTGGAATATTTGAAAGCTGCACAGGTTTATTAAGTTTTGTAGACTTGACGTAATGCATATAACGAAGATGATCGAGACTTTTCACAGATTTCGGAGCATTATATACTGCCAATAAGGTTTGAGTTCCACTCTCTAATAATCTCTGGGCCGAACAATTTTTATTTATAATCATTGATTTATCGATAGTTCATCAACTATATATGGCGCATTTTCGACCGGAGGCATCGGTTGACCTGAAGTGATGCTGTGACCGCGCGCTCTCCGCCCTCTATCTCGAAAACGGTTCACCGTATAATTTTTTTTTCTAAATAAATTTGTAGAGAATTTTGTATTCTACAATATTTATAAGTAATACAAATAGCAGAAACCCACATGAAATGAGATATTTCCAAAAAAAGCGCAATAAACGGATTTTTGTGACTTTTGACCTTGAAATTTAATAGTTGCTTACACCCTACCATATGTAGGTTTTGAGACAACTTTTAGGGTGTCAATTTACAAGTATTTACAGACTTACAGCTGGGTATCTCGAATTCCGAGGTGAACTTACTATAATGTCTGGACTATTGAGTAACAGCGATTTTACATGTTATTGGAATTTTATCATAGACAAAGATAAATGCCATTAAAATCAATCAAAATCCTGTTTATCAAAGATTACGGCCACTTTTCTTTTTTTTAGATTTAGACATGTCACGAGTCTTAAGCGCGATAACTTCGAGAAGTCGGTTGGAGAAGTCAGGTTTAAAGTTATACAAGGGTGGATATCAATATAGATAGGACTTTATTAATGAGTAAATATTAATAATTTGATTAAAAATTACTTACACATGAATGGTAACGCCATCTTTTTGTAAACTTACGTGGCAGATCTCCTTTTGAAATTGAATGAATTGCCCTTTTTTTGTAGCAGAGCTATTGTCGTCTATCCAGCAGTGCAACTAGATTTAGTCTAGTGAGTGGTCCATCCGCAACTAGTTTAATTGTACGTATACGACCATGTGGACTTATACTTAGGCAGAGGGCAATGCCTGCGTATAGCTACTCCCTACATTAAATTTTGCTATCTATTCAGTCGAACACCACACAGCGAATCATGACATAGAAAACTGTCAGTTTATTGTCTTCACAGCAAATATCATAATATCCTAAAATCGGTGATTTTAAATTCAATGGTGTCATTTCGTGAAGCTTTTCGGAAACCAAACGGCAGTTGGCATCCACGATTTTTTCGAACCGGAGCAGGAACTTAATAATCTCAAACTCATAAATATTTAAGAGAGTTTATTCATAGAAATCATATAATAAATACATTTACTTTTCAAAGAAATATTTAATATTGGAAGATTTTCTTACTAGTGGAAGAATTAAATACGGAATTCTTTTTGTTTTTTGGAGTGGGTAACATTGGCCTATGTCAATTGACATTGTCAGCGAGTTCACGTGTTAACCGTGCTTGAAGTTACGATCTGTGTTTATATCTAAATACGCAAATAAATAAAAATGAAAATAAAAAAGCAACATCGGAAGAAAAAATACCTTCACAAACTAAATAGGAAGAGAATGCATATAAAACAACGTAGTACTGGTGATGTAAATTGGTTAGATAAAATTAAGATTAACTTACGATTAAATGTTTAATTTACGTTTTTTATGCTTCAATATAATTGTTTATTTGATTTTTAGCAAACCTCTAAAAGATGCGTGGGATTTCAAGAAATCGACATTGCGTAATATGAAGGAAATGGGCCTTGCTAGCGACCCTAACAAAGTTATTAAAATACCTAATTTTAAGCAAGAAAAAGTTAAAATAGCTAAGAAAATAGTCAACGAAGATGAATCAGACGATGATGATGTTGAAGAAGAAATAGTCCAGCTGGTGCCTAAAAAGGAAATTGTTGAGATATTAGAAAAAGAAGCAAGAGCACCCAGGCAAAGGAGATTCATGTAAGTATTTTAATTCATTCTGGCACTTTTTTAAAGAGTAAAATTAATCAAAATGATGTCATCAATTCAGGAATGTTATATACATATTCATATGTATCACATTTGCATGTTCGGTTGACCCAAAATCAAGTTTTTTCAAATCTGTTTTAAATGTTAAAAGTATTATACCATTTTAGAATCATGATAACATGCACGAAATTTTAAAAGACCTTGCCAATAAAGTTATTTTTGGAGCATTATCCATACCATACGGTTTTCGGTTATGTTGTATTTGAGTTCTATCTTTGTGGTTTCAAATTGCTTGTAATGATTTTGTTTATTTTTATATTGATGAATAGCTGGTACCTCCTACAATTACTCCTTATATAGACAGCTACCTGGTAGTAAAATATCAAAATCAGTTTAGCCGTTTAAAAAATTACCTGGAACAAACAGACAGACAATTTTTTTTTAAATGGTTTTATGCAATGGTACAGTGCAAATAACCGTGTGAGCATGAAAACAACCTATTATTTTGACATTACAAACAGACACTTACTTACAATTTTATTTATTTGTATTGATTATTATCATCAACACTTTATTTATCTATAGATATTCAACAAGAATATCAAATAGGATTCACAAAGTATTTTTTTTTATAAATAATAATATTCTACCACATTCACACAATGCCATCTAGTCCCTAACTAAGCAGAGCTTGTACTATGGGTACTAGACAACTGATATAAATACATATATTTTTTTTTTACTTTAACTTAAATACATACATATTATACATAGAAACACCCAGACCAAATTAAACATTAAAAGTTCATGCAAACAAATGTTTGACTTGAGCGGAATCGAACCCATGACCTTTGGAATAGCAGTCCATTACACAAACTACTATGCTATCAAATTAGAAGTTATTAAATCAAATCAAATTAAAATCACTGTTAAATTCATTAAGTCAATTTAAACAATAATAACATTGCAAAAGTTAAATACTGATACTATAGTTAATAATTAAATAGTCAACAAGATAGTATACAGTTACATTGATTATATATAATAAATTCAAATAAATTTATATTCTTATTTATATTCTTATTTATATTATATTTTTATATTCTTATTTATATCTTTATTTAAGTTATATCTATTTCAAAATTTTGTTTTCATTGGTATTTAAACGAGTAGACATTTACAAAATAAAATTCAGTGTTCAGATATCTTGGTAATGTAATAATCAAGTTACTTTGCTATTTCAGGTTACCAAAAGGGCAAGTAGAATTTATAACATATTTATTAGACAAATATGGGCATGATTACAAAGCTATGGCAAAAGATAAAAAGAATTATTATCAAGAAACCTGGAAACAACTCAGGGCAAAGGTTAAGACATTCATGGGTATTCCAAAACAGTACAGTGAATATTTAGCTTCTAAAGGGCTTTTAGACAAAGAGGATAATGAAGAAGAATTGAAAGAACAAGCCAAAGCTTTGGTAATGGACGATGATTAGAATGTAATTGGTAATAAGTTAAAGATTACTCTATATTGCTATAAGTTGTACTAATGTAAGTTTATGTTAATAAATATATTTTTTAAATGTTTGTTTTTATTGTAAGTTTGTTAATAAATAAGAACTGTTTATTAAGGTTCGTTAAATTATATGGACTGAAGTTCACTAAATCTCAACATTCGTCCTTGTCCTGTTAAAAATACTTTTATATTTTATTTGTTTATTGTATTTTTTTGTGTGGTATAATAGGGCAAAACCGCCTTTCTAAGGAGAGGCCTATGTCTAGCAGTGGACTATTAAAGGCTGTTGATGATGATGGTTTTACTAGTATGACTAGTAAATTATGAATAGTCCTTGAGTGCTTGCATCATAAGTAGTGTATTAGTTACATTTCTCATATTGAGATCATTTTGAGGTTTAAATATTTTACTGTCAATTAGTAAAATAAAGGTAATTAAATTCAGACCATTTAAATGTAACTATTTTTATTGTGTTTTACAGTCATTGGGTACATCTTTAACTGGCTTTACTTTAGATATTTCTTGATACCATTCCTTCTCCATATCCAGTAACATCTGAGGTTTTTTGTACTGAAATATAATAAAATATTCTTTATTAATAATCTCAGTCTTTTTATCTGTAACACCTACAAAGGATCTGGTAAACAACATAAACCCATAGGATCTATTAATGTAAAGTTATAGACTGATTTAAACACATGTAATTGTTGATAAACAATTTTGTACAAACCTTTCACGTACAAATACAGACTCAATACTAAATATCACCAGATTTAAAATTAACTAAAAGACTGCATTCAGTATGTACATTAGAAAAAATTTGTGAGTTTATTTGGAAATATATGTTCCTGGTTGATGGCAATAGGCTTGGCCCTATAACATAAGTGGGACTAAAACTATAGTTTTTGTCCCACTTAGACCTATTTCTTAGCGTTCCATGGATTCACAGTGCGGGTACCAGGGTTTATTAATCTCACAGTATTGGCTGGGCAATATCTGTCATGATTCATAACAGGTAATAACATCATAATTAAAAGTTGAAGTTTTACGGTTTTAACTAATACATACAGGCATTTTAAACCAAAAATATGTTGTTTAAATAGATCAAGCTATTAAGAAAGTCTGAGAGCAAAATTGAAGCAAACTGCTCCATACAAAATGATGTATTAATTTTATAAAAACCTTACCATGATAATTAAAGTATGAAATTGATGAGTGGATGATATATTTGCCTGCTCAATTGGCAAATTAAAACGATCCAGTTCAGGCACTTGAAGTCTTTTGAAATACTTTTTGTTAGTAGTACGGACTATTATACATCTTTCATCATTATTTGCACTTATTGAGTATGTTTCAATAGGATATGGTAGGTTTCTGATTCTCCATTCCAAATTTATTCTGGTATTGCGGCGTGATAAAAGGGGCTGGAACATAAAATAATAATACATAATTTTATGTGGGAATAAATGATTAGGACTAATGATCATAGTTATACTATTACCTGATCTTTACTTTCCATTATATCAGCACCAGCGTCAATACGAGGAGTGGCATCTGGAATTGGATCACCAATTTCTACCTCCCATCTTCCTTCACCTCCTAATTTTCCCTTAACTTTCCAAGCTCTGCGTAAAAGAACTTGAGTGTCTACGTTGTATTCTTCAACCATTTCTTTGCCATTCTCAAACTTGTAGTGTATCTTCTTTAATTTGTCTTCTTTAAGGCACGATTTTTCTGCACCAAGTAATTCATGATACCAAAAGGTATTTCTAAACATGGTGGAGTTTTTTCCTATGTTTTCAAACGCGATATTATCCTTAGCTTTTTTCTGGAGTGTTTCAAATGTTTCGATTAGACAAGTTCTCTTCATACTGTTTCTATGGCAACGACATACACATGTATTTTCTTTTGGCTACCATAAATTAAACTGACCCATAGATAAAACACTATAAACTAGAAACCAGATATCTACTTAGTAGAGAACATCGTCTGTACATAATAAGATCTACAAAAAATAATACAGAACATATAACTATTGCAAGATGAATTATAATATTTTTTTCTAATATGTATTTGTTTGTGTTGTGTTGTTGTGATTTTGACATTTTAACAGTGCTGTGTTACCATTTACCAACTATTTGAGCTCGCCTGCCCTTCGAACGTTTTGTGAATTAATAACATGTTTTAGGATTGGAGACATGAAATGTCCTAAAAGATGGTGTATGAAATCGACGTAGTTGGGCAACTAGGCAATAAACATGGATTTATATCAATAAAAAAAATTACATAACAATTGAATCTCATACTTATGAAGATGACATTAATAAATCAATATCACAAATCATTTTCTGGATGAACAGCAATAATCTAAAATTTAATCTGAGTAAAACACAAATCATGCACTTTAAACAAAGGGCTGCAACAGCTCAAAATAACCAGCCATGTTTTAAATAAATATAAAGACTAGTATAAATGACGTTGATAATGCCAAGTGTCTCGGTCTAATTATAGATAAAAACTTAACTGGAAAGCCCATATTGAACAGCTATCCAAAAAAATAAGAAGTCGTTCGTATGCTCTTTATAAACTTGCTCCAGCAGTGAATATAGATACATTACCCACTGCGTATCATGGCCTCATCGAGTCCATACTAAGATATGACATTATCTTCTGGGGTAACTCATTCCATAAAGTGGTGGTCTTTAAATTAAAAAAAAAAGTATACGACGGATGTTTGGACTACAAGTCACAGACAATTGTGGGCCCTACTTTCAGAAACATAAACCATTAACATTACCATCACTATACGAGGGGTGATCAATAAGTAATGATAATCAATATGAAACAGAACTATTAGATTAAAAAAAGTATTTTATTTTTCAACATAGTCTCCTTGCAAGTTAATACATTTAGTGTATCTTTTTTCTAAGCCCATAATTCCCTTAGAAAAAAATTCTTTGTCTTGACCCTCCCAAAATGCCTCTACTGCGGCCATCACTTCACTATTGTCCTCAAATTTGTTGCCCCGGAGGTGTTCTTTGAGCCGAGGAAAGAGGTAGAAGTCACTGGGAGCTAGATCTGGCGAATAGGGAGGGTGTTCGAGCAGTTCGAACCCCGTTTCTTCAATGGCAGGCATCGCAACTGCGGCTTTGTGAGCCGGGGCGTTGTCTTGGTGAAACGGCACTCCAGCGCGCAGTTTACCGCGTCTTTTTGACTTAATAGCTTCTCGCAATCTTCTTATTTGGCCTGCGTAGTAAGAGCCTGTTATAGTGGCCCCCTTTTCCAAATATTCCACCATAATAATTCCTTCTGCATCCCAGAAAACAGACGCCATAACCTTTCCCGCTGAACTTGACACTTTGAATTTCTTCGGCGTTGGTGAGGAAGCTCGTTTCCAAGTCATTGATTGTTGTTTGGTTTCGGGATCAAAGTGGTGGATCCAGGTCTCGTCCATGGTCACAAAACGCGACAAAAAAAATTCTTTATCGGCCTGGAACTTTTGAAGATTCACCCTCGAAATGTCGACTCGTTTCTTTTTTTGCTCGTCGGTTAACATTCTCGGTACCCAACGCGCAGAGACCTTTTTCATATGCATTTTGTTGACAATGATTTTTTGAACGCTGCCATAGGAGATCCCTGTGACCTCAGCTACATGCCTTACGGTCACCCTTCGATCGGCCAACACGATATCTTCCACTTTTTTGAGGTTTTCTCCAGTAAGGGACGTGGAAGGGCGTCCCTCGCGATGTTCATCTTCAGTGGAGGTTCTGCCCAGCTTAAATTCCTTTGCCGAGCGTGCGACTGTGGAATATGGAGGAGCAGACTCCCCCAATGTTTCCTCTAAGTCGCTGTGTATGTCTTTGGTAGACATTTTTTTCAGGCAGAGGTACTTGATGACAGCTCTTATTTCATTTTTCTCCATTTTGATGTTTTCTCTTCGACATTTCGTATTCAAATGAATGTATCTCCCGGTAATGGTGTCCTATTTATACATTTTTTTGAAGCTGAAGTAGTGGATATATAAGCAAGCAGAAAAAAAATAATTTGGGTTTTTGTGCGTTCTAGAAATACTAGATTATCATTACTTATTGATCACCCCTCGTACATCTACGAAATTGCTGTGTTTGTAAAAACCAATGCACATCTTTTTCGCAAAATGTCAGACGTCACTATACGCAATCGTCTTGACAATAGTAGGTTATGTATGTACACAGAAAAAACGGCACTACTTAGCAAGAGCGTTTTTAGCATGGCTCCAAAAATTTACCTAATGCATATAAGGATCTTAACGTTAAGTATCACCCACACTGTTTCTTCTGCATATCAATGACATGTTGCAAACTAGTAGAATCCATTACTATGCAGATGAGAGCATAGGAGATGCCCTTTATACCGGCCTCCCTAACATTTCTCGGGAAAACGTAATCGAGAGTCGTAATAAACTTGTGTTTGAAATTGAAACTTCCTTAGCGTGGTTTCAGATTGGGGCCGACTAAATCTAGTCCATTTTAAATCTAAAAAGACACAGGTTTGCGTGTTGTCGTATCACCACCGAAGTCCAGTTTCGGGGTCACTTAAAGGGTGAGGTCAAATTGGCCTCGAAGAAGCTCGGTGTGCTGAACAGGTCGAGGTAGTATTTCACTCCGGCCCACCGCCTTCAGCTCTCTAAGGCACAAGTCCGGCCTCATATGGAATACTGTTCTCAACTCTATGCAAGAGCACCTCAGTACCAGCTTCTCCCTCTGGATTGCATCCAACGAAGAGCGACTCGAATCGTCGATAGCCAAAAGATTTGCGACCGGCTCGATTCGTTGGCGTTACGTACAGATGTGGCTTCACTCTACATTTTCTATCGCATATATCATGGAGAGTACTCCGAGGAATTGTTCGGACTAATACCAGCCGCAAATTTCCGTCTTCGTTCTACACGTCAAAATTTTCATCCTTATTGCCTGGATAGTTGGCGCTCCACTACTGTGCGCTTTTCGAGACAATTTTTACCCCGCACAACCAATCTGTGGAACGAGTTATCGTCTGCGGTATTTCCGGACCGATGCGACCTTCAAACCTTCAAGAAAAGAGCGTACTCCTTCCTAAAAGGCCGGCAACGCGTTTGTGACTCTTGAGTTGCAGACGTTCATATGCGGCGATGGTCATTTTCCATCAGGTGACCCGTCTGCTCGTCTGCCCGTTTGTAATTTTATAACACCATTGTAACAGTGTTTTCTGCAAAATAAATAATTTATAATATTTAGATTTATTACTAGAGAAGCGTCAAATTTTTCAGTCAGACAGTTAAAAGAAGTCCAATAGAAGGCAAAAAGACTAGTTGTCATTGGAATTAAGTTTCAAAAAAAGCAAAATGTCACATCAAGAATGACAAGTGTACAGAAATAGGTTATCTTGGGTTTTGTTACTAGATTGTAAATATTTATATTTAAAATTTTTTGAAGATTACAGACTTGATTTACACATTTTCAAAAAATGTCGGCTATACCCGACAGGTAAATTTTATTTTCCCCTCTATTACCATTGAATTGGACTGAGCAACTCCTGCACCATTTACTTGGTTTGGTTTCAGGTGGATTCCATACAAGGCATGTGGCAACGTTATTGAAGGAACTAGATTTATATGTTTCAAAGTACCTCTAAAAAAAGTAAGTGCTAGTAATCTAGTTTTATTACAGCTTTAAATACCACTCAAACATTTTTAGGTTACCTAAGTAGAAAGGTTGACTGGAAGATTTTGCTCTGAGCCATAAGGGCGCTCTTTGTACATTATTTCTGTTGTACATTTTGTACTTTACAATACCTGTAAAAACCCAGTCAATTTTCAGTTTGTAGTCAATCTTTCACATTAGTTGTGTCATCAAAATTTAAGAGCACACTTGAATTTTATAAGACAATACAGTTATCCGAGTTGGCTTGCCAGCTGCAGGATGTATGCCTTGTTGTTATATTGTCTTGGGCTCCATGATTAAGGAACTTAGTGTGATAACGAATATATTAAATTACTGGACCTACTCAAGTTACTGTCTAATTGCTTAAATACCAATAGGTTAAACATTATGAAATACAATTTATAATAATGTTTTTTGAGATGTAATTAAAATATATTTTTAGATGAGAGCCATCTATTGTGCACATAAAGTAAATCAACACTTGACACAATTCTCAATAGATGGTGCTAGTGATATTAAAATACTGGTTGAAATCCGTAAGATTCCATTAGATATTTGTTACCAAGTCCAGTTTTGGAGTCACTTAGAGAGTAAGGTCAAATTGGCCTTGAAGAAGCTTGGAGTGCTGAATAGATTGAGGCAGTATTTCACTCCGGCCCACCGCCTTCAGCTCTTATAAGGCGCTAGTCTGGCCGCATATGGAATACTGTTCTCATCTCTATGCAGGGGCGCCTCAGTACCAGCTTCTCCCTCTGGACCGCATCCAACGAAGAGCGACTCGAATCGTCAATAGCCCAAACATCTCCGAACTGCTCGATCCCTTGGCGTTACGTAGAGATGTGGCTTCACTCTGAAATCTCTATCGCATATACCATGAAGAGTGCTCCTAGGAGTTGTTCGGACTAATACCAGCCGCAACTTGCCGCCATCGTTCTACACTACAAATTTTTCCTAGTCATTACCTGGATGGTTGGCGCTCTTTTCGAGTCACTTTTTGCCACGCACAACCAATCCGTGGAACGGGTTAACGTCTGCGGTATTTCCAGACCGATACGACCTTCAAGAAAAGAGCGTACTCCTTCCTAAAAGGCCGGCAACGCGTTTGTGACTCCTGAGTTGCAAACTTCATGGCACGTCACTTTCCATTAGGTGACCCGTCTGCTCGTCTGCCCCTTCTAAAACCAAGTTCATCAGGTATTTTCATAATTAAGGTCGGATTAGTTTAAAAATTATAAAGGAATCGTAATCCCAGATCCTCTAAATTCTCTTACTCAATACTTACCAAAAATTTCCTTTATTCAGATTATTTAAATTATATTGTATGTGAAAGTTATGATGGTTTAAACTTAATTAGGTCAAAGGTACTGTTGTTTATCATCCATAATATATTTAATATACTTCTAAAATAGTTTGTATTTTGTAAAATTACTTAATAAGTCAGGAATATAATATGGATACGATTAAAACTAATTTCAAATATAACTCAAATACAATACCTACAATACCAAATAAAATACAATACCTTTTAGTACATTAATAAAATGATAGTAGCATTTGCACCTGCATTAGCGGAACGTAACTGACAATGAAATGCATTATTAGTCCACAAGCTCGACGCACAATGCGTGTTTGTATAACTGTCTGTCTGCCTGGGCGTTCACTTGACCGTACCACAGTTAGATGGCAAACACCGTCTCTTGACGATCTGTGTTAATTTGTTCTGCATGGCACTTGCATCGCTGCGATATCACAAGTATGTTTGGTTAGCCACTCGAGGTCGGACAATAATCGTTGCGTTGCGGGCGAGATCTCAGTCTTTGGTTACCATAAATAAGTTCTATGAAGTAAACAAAAACAAAATCCTAGCTCAAACATGTAATAATAGCTGTCAATAGTATAGAAAAAAACGATGTAACATTCTTGTTTCTGATTTTAATGATAGATAATAAATCTTTTATGTTCAAAATTACAGAAGTGAAAATAGAACGATCAATGCCTTCAAAAACTCAATTAAGTCACGACTTTGCCTAGGTGTTATATACATAATATGTATGATCGGTTGCAATAAAGGCATAAGTACTTACGTATAGACGACGACAAAGGTTTAATGTTTCGTCATAAACGATTAATACCTTACTGTATAAACCTCCTTATTTGTTAAAACTGTGGGTTTCTTAACTCCACACATTATTGTTACAGTCAACAAAACATTCTTAGTAAACTCAGTACATACACACAAACATACATACGTGTTTCTTTAATCGAAATGATTACGAAAGTTTTAATGTTGCTGTTACGAGTAAATGTTTGAAAATATGTTTTTAAAGAGATGTTGTATGTTCAAAAATGATTCTTTATTATGAAAAACTTAATAGTAATTTTCCAAATATTTTTAGATTTAATAAGTATTTAATAATAATCTAGGAATTGATTATTTTGAGTTAAAAGAAAGAGAATATGTTTGATACCCGTAACTTTATGTAACTATATATTTTTAGTTTATTGTAATTTTTTTTAAGCTGAATAGAAAAAAAAACTTTAAAACAAGAGCCAAAAGAAGGTTTCACGGTTGACATTTGTCACTGACGGCCTGCAATTATAGACGGTTATCATTGAAAGATTCTTATAACGAGTATAATATGTTGGATTGTGATATAGAATACAAACAAAAATCTACAAGATATATTGATATCCTAGCCTTACTGGATAAATGGGACATCTGACACTAAACATTTTTTTTATTCGAAGCAGTAATTTAGAGTTTGACCAAACAAACTTTTCAGCTTTATAGTATTATTATAGATATATAAATGTATATTTATAAATATATTGTTTGTTTTTACATGGAAACATTTGTGCCTGGTTGACGGCAAAACGCTTGCCCCTATTACGGAAAGTCCGAGCTCTCTAACTGTTAGTCTTACAACTTTCTGAAAGGCTTTAAGGCATAAAAGCTAAAAGAAATTAAAATAATAATTCAATTGTGTAAAACTGAGTAAGTGATGCTTTACTGTACTATTGGGGGAAATTAAAAATAGGGGGAATCAGCACCTACTGATTCTCAGTGGATCCAAGGAATTGGAATAACAACTAAAAAATCAAATAATAAAAACGAGAGTAATTTTGTGGATATTCACTATATGGTTTAAGTAAAATGCTTTATCTATTCTTTATGGTACATTTTCATATTCACAATAATGGATGTTATTGAAGGCAATGAAAAATCAGATGTTTTTAAACCAATATTTTACTTTGTATTTTTTAAAGATTAAAGATTTAAAATGACTATCAAAACTAAAGCAGTCAAATTGAGTACTAAAAGTATGTTTAAATATATTTTTAAGTTACTCCTTTCCCACGAAATAAACAACACGTAAAGTAAACAGTACGTCCAATATAAGAAAGAGCCTGTAGACTCTAGAGTTGTACTCGTACGAGAACACAAGTTTCATTATTCGCTTCGCTCGTATTGTTACGAGCCAGTGTTAAGTAACCTTAACACTGGCTCGTTAATACTTACTGTATGCAAATACTTCGGAAGCCTGAAACAGGTCTTGATTTTTTAAATTTAATAAAAAAGGAATATCACATTATTTGAACAATACTTTTTGCTCTCTTCCGAATTCAGGGCGATGTGCGATGCCATGTCACAATGCCGGTTTAATCTTGTTGCCAGAATAGCGCGCGTGCTATTAGATCCCCTTTTCGCCCCTCCTCTGCATTTTTAGTGTTTATGCCGCTTATTCTTGGTCAAATATCTAACACTTTTTCTGTGTTTGACCCTAACATTGCTAGTGCATAATTTAATAACATTGTGAACATATTCGTAGTATCTATGGCTATAGGAACAGAACACAAAACAGTAAAGCCATTTTACTGTTTAACTGGCGAGTTTAATCCGAGTTCTGTTGTTAGGCGCCCTTATTAAGTGACTTCATACGGTCACGCAGTACGTCTTTTGATGTCATCCTCGCTCTTTATATTGTCTGAGGGACGATTATAGTCTTTGTTTTGGATAGACATTTTAAATTACTACTAATTAATCTAGCAGCTGACAAAGTTAAGTATTCGTACCGGGATGTAATATAATTTTCATTAGGGTTTATTAATACAGTTGGCACAAAGCTCTTGCTTTCATCGCTTGCCATATCTGGATTGAAATGCACCGAATCTGTGTCTACACTTTGACTTTATTTGCTGAAGATCGTGTCAAAATATTTATTTGTTACGATAGAAACGAGTTTCGACATCTAAAGGACTAATCCCGTATTTGATAAAGCAGCGGGTGCCTCTCGCTTTACTCCACGAATATTCGATTCTCTCTATCTAAACATCTTTTGACTTTTTTTAAATAGCCCCTTGTACCGTATCCGTGGCGCTTTGATTCCGTTTCTTTATTCAACGGTATCTGACTATAAATTCTGAAGGTTTTGTTCTCTTTGAGTTATAAGAGGAATTACGTTAATGGCAATCGGTAGGTGTAATTTGATATCATTCATGGATCTACAACTGTTTCTTTATTATGATCCACTATCAAGCTTTTATTTTATTTGTTCTTTTAAATTGGTTTGAAAAATATGGTTTGAGGATCCTTAAACTTTTTTTACCGGAGTCATACTTATAAATTTATATAAGCAACGATTTAACGAAAAGACGACTTACGAGTATAAATAGATTTACATGTATTGTAGATAAACTTCTGCGCATAGTTTTTTTTTTACTATAGATGCAGAAATGTTCAAAGCATTGCATTGCATGTAGCTAGAAAACGTAATGACAATACAATGACAAAACGAAAATGAAAGCTGAAAAAACGTTGAGATTAATGATTTAAATCAATGTGTAATATTATACTCAAACTATTATATTCAAATCACATTAGAATAGATAAGATTAGAATTGAGCATATTAGCAGTAGTTAGTTCATACCTTTGTGACGGATCGTTGAAGTAGCGCACATTTGTCATGGTATGGAC